ACCCGGAGGTCTGGGGGGGGTCAGAGGTAATGTCATGTTGATGAGTCGGTCCTTTGAAATAAACTTTAATGGCCCCACATTAACATGGCCGATGAGGAATTGTCTCCTTAAACAATGAACTCCCACTTTTCTCCCAACGGGGGGGGGGTCCTGCCATAATATGTATAATAGACTTTAAAGGGGGGGGGGAGAAGGGGGGAAGGAAGGAGGGAGGGAGGAAGGAGGGAGGAGAAGGAAGGAGGGAAGGAGGATGGAAGGAAGAAGGGAGGAAGGAGGTAGGTAGGAAAGGAGGAATGAGGGAAGGAAGAACGAGGGAGGGAGTAAGGAAGCAAGGAGGAAAGGAAGGAGGGAGGAAGGAGGTAGAAGGGAAGGATGGGAAAAAGTAGAGAAAGAACAACTTAGAAAGACTAAAAAAGAAAGACAGATAGAAGGAATGAAGGAGAGCAAAAGAACCCACAACTGTGTTCCTGCCCATCCGACCAATGGCAGCCCTCCTCCCTGATGACGTCAGAGCCCCTCCCACTGTGTGTGTGCTCACTGATGCAGATGATCCACACACCACCCCCCCCCCCCCCCCCCTTTTACCGGGGGGGGGGGGGGTCATTAGGGAGTGACATGAAAAGGACACACACACACACACACTCACACACACACACACACACACACACACACACATCAGAGCTATATGAACACATCCTGATCTCTAACTCAGGATGACATCAGTGTGTGTGATGTCATGTGGACCACAGACAGACGGGAGGAAGAGGAGGAGAAGAAGAAGGAGAAGAAGAAGAAGAAGCTGGAGGAGAAGGAGGAGGAAAAGGAGGCCTCCTTCCTCCAGGGTTAGATCTGGAAACCAACATGGATCCATCAATCATGAGGTGACAGGTGAGTGGACAACACAATACAGAGTCAGGACAAAAGCAGGAACACAACCAGAGACACACAACCTGAGACACACAACCAGAGGAACACAACCAGAGACACACACAACCAGAGGAACACAACCAGAGAGACACAACCAGAG